TGCTACAGTATGAACCTTGTGGTAGGACCGTTGACATTCTGAAAAATTATATAACTTAACCCACTCTTAGTGATTAGGTCTAGGGTGGATATGTAGCCAAGTCATGGTTCACCACTTCTCTTCTCAGGACATAGGAGCTTTTAGAATGAGCTGAAACTAAATATCCTGTCATTCACTCCTGGGAGTGGCCTTGAAATAAATTGCAGTCCATAAGGGAAGAACAGCAAAAGTGCTTCTGCACATCTCGACAGAACAGACTGAAAAGAGTATTTCTCTTACATTTGTGTGCACACAGTAGAACACCATTGTCTTCTCATTCAAATATATTGGTATTCTGGGATCTTATATGATCACTACTTGACCCCTTTTCTTATGATCCTGTTTCAAGTATACTGAAATATTTGGCCACAGTTTAGATGTTGAGATCTCTCTTAGAATGTCTAATTCCACACCTTACAGATGTGGACCACATTGTCCTACATAGTAACTTGAACCTCTGCAAGGAACTATGAACTAGTCAGAAACATAAAGGTATGTGCATGTGCATTCACATGACAAAAGGTATCAAATTATTTGTGACAATTTATCATTACCCACGCTTATAAGCCATTTCAATATCAACTTCAATTGAGGGACAATGACTATATCCCATGGAGTATTTTAGGTTTCTATAGGATTGGAAACTTTCCTGCATGAAGGCCAAAGAACCCATTTTTACAAAATATCTTCCCTGGCCTTGGAGTTCTTTCTACTCAGGGTCTGGGTACTGTCCCTCAGATTTTGTAATAAAGGAACAAATGTGATGACAACCTATCAGCATGATTCACAGCACTACTTGTGGGAAATTTCTTGATAATTGGCAATAACAGTCTCACAGCCTTTACTACCTAGTTGGCCTTTCAATTGTGATTTTAAACCTCATATTCTTGAGCAACTAAGATTTCTGATGTGAAGCACCAGTGCCCCGTTAGATCAGGAGATCTTAACTACTTGATCCAAGCAGGACTCATGGTTTCCACAGAATAGGATATAAAATTCATAACATCATATAGACATATGCAAAGGTCCTTTTGCAATCTCAGTAAAGGACTGTTTACCTATCATTCTGTAAACCACATCCAAATTCTTCCACTAAATATTTGGAAGAATGCATTGTTTTCACAGATCATATTAGTGGTCCTCAGGTTGAATTCAGAGGCAAAAATTTGTGAGGCTTCCTTTACCTTCTATACCAGATGCCCTTTTGTATCACTCATTTTGCACCTTAGGGTCTTGTTTCTTTGTCTGGGCCTTTCAACACACTAATTGTAATAATTACATATCACAAGTAGCAAACAAGATAGGCACATATGACCAGATCCATCCTTTTCTTGGCTAAGATACCATTTTCATGAAGCTTTTGCATGGGATGGCCTACAAATACTACCTTTGTAATTTCAGCTTCCTGAGTAACTAAGATTCCACACGAGGGACTGTAATTGCTCATTTTTAATTGCTGATTTTAAACTAAAAGAAGGAAAGGGTATTTTACCAATTCAGTGAGCAGCAAGTTCCTTAAATTTTGAGCTCAAGCAAACTATTAGCCAAATGATAATAACAAAAGTGATAAAATCAAAAATAAAATGTTATCATCAGGGCTACTTTGAATGTGGTATGTTGGTTCATGAGTTTTAATGACAGCTATATGACAGGCCTAGGTAGAAGGGACTCTGGTCCATGAACCATCCTTTATCGGAAAGCATCCAGTTTGTAAAAATGGGAGAATGAACTATATCCAAATAGCTGGTGTTTGTGTATGTGTGTGTGTATGGTACAAGTAGAAAGGCCAAGGGCCTCCTAATCCCCCTATTTTTTTCTTCTTTACTAGGCCTCAGTAGATAAACAGATGGGTGAACAGTGTGAGGGGAGGGGGTAAGCTAGCAACCTAGCTAAATCTGGCAATGTGAAGTCCACTGTCCTTATCTTGTAAATGGAATCCTGGCCAGCATTTAAGAATTCTCTTTGAACAATTAAAATTGTTGAAGGCACAGGAAGCCTGAGGTGAAGCACTAAATGAAACCTCTTATTCGCAGAGAAAGATTTCTTCAGAACAGCCCACAGGGCTCATGCTTTGATTGCTAGCTTTTTAGATTCCTAGGAGCTCTCGTTGGCTTCAACTCAGTCCCTGAGTTGAAGACCTCATATTGGCACAAAAACATTTCTTCATGAAAGTGTGAAAATAGAGCCCTTCATGTAACAAAACAGCTGTGGACATATGTAGAATGACTGGCTTCTATAGCATATGGAGTCTTGGTCTTGGTTTACTAATTAAGCACTTTCTGATGTAACAAACATTTTTTTCTAAATGTTTCCAGGATATCTTTAATTACATAACTATACAGTGGCATCTATCTTGGCTCTAGAAATTCTAATGTTAGATCAAACTTTGTGTTTCTGTAAAAGAAAACAGTATATTTGTTGGAAGCCACATTATTTTAGATGGAATACTTGAAATATTAAGTCAATTTATAAAATGTTACAGCCTCCTTATAATTTTGTAAACAGTTCAAGAATTAACTTTTGTAAAAGCCATTTTTCTTGAGCCCCACCTCTGAAACAATAATTCTCACATTCACCAAAAATTAAACATTCTTCTTTTGAATAGTTTATTTCTTCCTTCTTCCTCATTCCTTCCCTTCCTCTTTCCCTCTCTCACATCACTCCTTCCTGCCTTCCTTCCTTCCTTCTTTCTTTCCTTCTTTCTATCCTTCCTTCTTTCCTTCCTTCCTCTCAGGGCCTAGAAGTGATGCTGTAACTCAAGTGGCAGATGGTTTTATTTTTTTGTTAACTTCAATTTTTGTGAGAGGTTGATCAATATCTTTGTGTGCTCAATTATTTCCCCTAATATCCTATCCACTTTGGCCCTCTATGAGATAACACAGGTGCGACACATCATCCACATTGGTGTTTTGTAATAGCTTGCTCAGCTGAACAACTAAATAGGCTAAGAGTGAATCAATCACAAGTTGCTCATCACCAATGATTAATTAAAGAAAAGAGCAAGCACTGAAGATACTTTGGGGTTCTCCCCCAAGGCACAATGCAGATTCTAGTCTTTATTACTCTATCATATTTTTAAATATATATTTTATTGTAAACATACTGTACAGATTGGTTACATATTATGAGTTAGGTCATGAATACATTTCCTTTTGAGCATTGTTACCCCTCTGAGAAAGACTTTACTACTATGTATGTACTGAAATAAGGACTAATATCTTCCTTTAGATCTTCCACTCAAAAACTGAACTGGAATAAGTAAGTCATTTGTACTATAACGCATGGATCACACATACAGAGGGAGACTTAAGGGAGCAGTAGAAATATGGTTGTTCTCATGTTCTTGGCTCCAATCATAACAGTATTTACTCATCTATTGTTCCCATAAGCATGTTGGAGATGATCTGAATCCAGTCCCAAAGGGCTAGAACTCATATTTCTAAGAGGAGTTTACAAATTACCTTGACACACCATTCCTTAGTATAAAAGACACAAGTGAATTATTTCAATTTCTTAATTCCTTGTCGAGACTGGTTGTTTCTACATGCTTTGGATAATATTGAAGGACACCATCCACACTCAACATAATGACAAATGTTGGCTCAAAGAGAGCTGAAGAGTGAAGAATGGTTTCCCATCACCCCTAACTTACCTCTGCCATGAAGAATTTCTCTGTATAATTTACAGAGGTTTTCTGACAAAGGTTTTCCTACATTGGGTTTCTTTCCTGGGTGAATATTTTAATAATTGCTGAAGGTTGGCTTCTGGTTGAAAGACTTCCTCTCATGTTTATATTTACAGAAATTCTGTCATGTGTCCAGGTCTCTGATACCTGTACAGATAAGACTTCTGGCAAAATGTTTTCTATACTCATAATTTCTCTCCTGTGCATGATCTCACATGTGATGAGGACTCAGTTCTGATTGAAAGTCATTTCACATATGTTCTATGCACTACTTTCTTTTCTCCTATGTGAATCAGTTCTCTCATAAACACTGAGATATTCCTTTCAGGTCAAAGACCTTCCACATTTGTAATATTTTTGAGATTTCTCTGCTGTGTGTTATATGAACTTGGATCTATGAATACTTAGTAAAGGACTATCCACATTTGATATATTTGTATTTTCTCATCTGTGTCTGTTCTCTGATGGAAACTGAGTTAGGACTTTTTCTTGAAAACCTTTCCATATTTTCCTACATATGATTTCTCTCCTCTTTGTGTGTGAGAGTATGTGTCTGTGTTTCTGTGTGTTTTGGTGTTCTGTGATGCACTCTGAGCTGTGTCTTGTAGTTGGAGGACTCCACATCTGCTATATCATAAGGTCTCTATCCTGTATTGGTTCTGTATTGCAATTTCAATTTTCTTACAGATCAAAGACTTTCCCCATTTGGTACAATCCTAAGTTATTTCATTTGTGTGAATCAACTTATGTGTGTTAAGCTGTGAACTCCAGGTCTTTCTACACTGGTTGCATTCATAAGGTTTCTCTCCTTGTGTTCTGTGATGGATGTTAAGGTTTGCCTTCCAGATGAAAGAATTTCCATGCCTACTACATACATAACATTTCTCTCTGGTGGGTTTTATTCTGATGGACAGAAAGGTGTATGTTCTGGGTGAAAGAATTTCCACATAGGTTACATTCATAAAATTTCTCTCCTGTGTGTGCTCTCTGGTGGAAAGTAAGGTGGAGCTTCTAGCTGAAAATCTTTCCACACATATGACATTCATAAGGTTTCTTTCATGTGTGTTTTCTGATGGACAGTGAAGTTTTACTTCCAGGTGAAAGCCTTTCCACAAATGTTACATTAATAAGGTTTCTCTCTTGTGTGTGTTGTCTGGTGGCAAGTAAGGTATGACTTCTTGGTGAAAGACTTTCCATACGTGTTACATTCATAAGGTTTCTCTCCTGTGTGTGTGTTCTCTGGTGGCGAGTAAGCCTTGATTTCAGGATGAAACACTTTCCACACAGGTTACATTCATAAGGTCTCTCTCCTGTGTGTGTTCTGTGGTGGGCAGTAAGGTTACCCTTTTGGGTGAAAGTCTTTCCACACACATTACATTCATGAAGTTTCTCTCCTGTGTGTATTCTCTGGTGGCTAGTAAGATATGCCTTGCAGGTGAAAGACTTTCCACAAATGTTACATTCAAAAGGATACTCTTTTGTGTGTGTTCTATGGTGAACAGTAAGCTTTGATTTCTTGGTGAAAGACTTTCCACACACATTACATTCATAAGGTTTCTTTCCTGTGTGTGTTATCTGATGGACAGTGAGGGTTGACTTCCAGGTAAAGGACTTTCCACACAAGTTACATTCATAAATTTTCTCTCCTGTGTGTGTTCTCTGGTGGGTAGAAAGATATTCCTTGTGGGGGAAAAACTTTCCGCAAATCTTACATTCAAAAGGTTTCTCTTTTGTGTGTGTTCTCTGGTGGACAGTAAGATTTGATTTCTGGGTGAAACACTTTCCACACAGGTTACATTCATAAGGTCTCTCTCCTGTGTGTTTTCTGTGGTGGACAGTAAGGTTTGATTTCTTGGTAAAAGACTTTCCACACATGTTACATTCATAAGGTTTCTCTCCTTTGTGTGTTCTCTGGTGGACAGTAAGGTATGCCATCCTGGCGAAAGACTTTCCACACATGTTACATTCATAAGGTTTCTCTCCTTTGTGTGTTCTCTGGTGGCTAGTAAGATATGCCTTGCAGGTGAAAGATTTTCCACAAATGTTGCATTGAAAAGGTTTCTCTTTTGTGTGTGTTCTCTGGTGGACAGTAAGCTTTGATTTCTTGGTGAAAGACTTTCGACACACGTTACATTCATGAGGTTTCTCTCTTGTGTGTGTTCTCTGAGGGACAACAGTGTGTGACTTTTCACATTGTTTATATTCTTCAACTACAGAAGACACATGAGGACTATAGGCAGCACACATCTTACCAGGTTCACTGAAAACACCCATGTTCTGACACCCAGTGACCTTTTCTATCCTCATCTCTAAGGAGTTCCCATTATTCTTAATCAGTTCTGACTTCTGTATGGAGCTCAAATGAAAACTTTTTATAAGTCTCACTTTTTCCTCCCCTGGGTTAGTATTCATGACTGCTACTTCAGAGAGATATTTATTGTGACTTTCCTGACAGGTGCTAATCACATCCTCCATTTCTGGGACATCTAAAATGAATAATAGAAAAATAGACAAAAACATAAATGAGACCCACAAATTCCTTACGATAACGATATTTCCTCACATTTTCTTACTAGATTTTCAAATATCAAAACATTGCTTTATGCAGAATATATACATTTCTCTGCAATGTAGTAATTAAGAAAGTAGTACTGACATTTTACAGTGCAAAATAATGTTTTTCTGTATTTTAGATTATTATATGTTTTCCCAGGAAATATTTCTTGAAATTATTCATCTCCATACTCTTCATGCCTCCATTCTGAATCGCCCTCTATGCCCAGCACCACTGATAAGAAATTGTCCCGATCAGAGGATAGCAGCCCTAGCATACTCCTATTTTCCTCCTACCTGCATAATACTAGTTTAAAAGAAAATGAGATCTCCTTTCTACATTTCTTATTCTCTTTTTCTCTTTATGAATGACTTCTCTACAGAAAAAGGGAATTGCTAACACTGCCTACACTGGCACACCAAATTCAGGGTGTCTCCATGTGAATTCTGGATTGACAATTCCTTGAGACAAAGGATCACCTAGTTCTCTGCCACACATGACTCAGAGGCACTAGGAATACTATTGCTCCATACCGCTCAATATAAACAGACCCACTGGGCTCTGGATCCATCATCACCATTCAAGATGCTTTAACCAACCTGTAAAATTCTTGTCTGAGGTTTCTCTTATCCATGGTTCTGCACCTTGCTCCAGCTTCACAATCAATTCAGGTTTAGGAACACAGTGCCCTGTGAATAAGAAATAGTGGAGAACAATTGCTCTTGCTGGGTCATCATTAATGTAAGGTCGCAGACATCCTGTTTGCAAGGTTGCTCCTAAATCTGGTTTCTCAATTGTTTTTGTGGGGGGCCGTCGAGTTGTGGGGCGTGAACTCTGGGCCTGGGAGCTGTCTCTCAGCTCTTAAGCACAAGTCTAGCACTCTATCACGAGCCACAACACCAATTCTAGTTTTATTTCCCTGCTTATGTGGTGCTGAGATATCGAACACAGGGCCTCAAGTATGCAAGGGAATTTGTCTATCCCTGAGCCATCTTCCCAGCCCATGGTTTCTCTATTCTTAATAACTCCATGGTGGAGTTGCCCCCAGCTTTGAGTTTATTGTGGCATTGTGTGGCTTGAACTCAGCTCTTTTGCTCAAAGCTAGCATTCTACTAGTTTGAGTCTTGCCTACGATTCTAGTTTTTGAATGGTTAATTGGAGATAAGAGTTTCATGGTCACTTTTCCACAGTTCCTGGCTTCAAACCAAAATCTTCAGATTTCAGCCTCCAGAGTATCTAGAAATCCAATCTTCATGCACTAAACTCTGTGTCAAGTTTGGCTTACAAATACACACTTTCACCTACTGATTTCCAGATCATACTGTCAGTAGTAATGTATATTTTATCTAGACTGTAGATCCACCTATAATAATTACCCCAAGTCTGGGAAGTCAGTCTCCTATTATTGGATCATAGTTTAGAACTTTTGTCCAAAATTGATTAGAAATCTTAAAGACTGAAAATAAAATTAGCTCTTGAGTTACATATAAGGAAGTTGAAGTTTCCCTTACAAAGAAATGACACTTCCCATGGACTGGAATCTTTTTTAGTGTTTTTTTTGTTTGTTTGTTTGTTTTTAGAAAATGTTATGGTTCAAACTTTAATCCTTCATTGACGAGATGAGATCTGAAGTGGCAGGCTTGAAACCAACCTGGGCAAGGAAACCCAGAATATACCCCAAAACAAAAGCCAAAATGGAGTTGTGGTTCATGCAGTAGTGCAAAGGCAAACAACACCAAGCTCCCAGACCTCAATTTGGCTGGCTTTTATACTAGCAGTTTTTAGCTGGGAATGGACTGGAATCTTAGACCTAGATAACATAAACAGTCAAATGTCTACTAAAATAAAAGCACTTGATCTTCCAAGAAAAAGTGACCTTTGCTCACCCAAGGACATTAGGTTGCTATAGGTCTCCAGCATTACATCTCTGTGAAGGGTCCGCTGACCAGGATCCAGATCCTGCCACTCCTTCCAGGTGAAGTACACAGCCACATCATCAAATGACATCAGCTTCTGTAATGGCACATTTCCATCAAGAAATTAGACCTGGGTCATGAGAATTCCAATCAGGAATTTCATTATACTGCAGGTATGCTTTTGTCTTACATTAAATGTTTGCAGCTTGCTGTGTTATCTATTCACTGGGAAAATTAAATAGCAAATTAGAAATATTGGACAATATATAAACCTGGTCATTAAAACACACAGATTGGCAGGGCACTGGTGGCTTATCCTCCTAGCTATTGAGGAGGCTGAGGTCTGAGGATCTAGGTTCAAGGCCAGCCCAGGCAGGAAAGTCCATGAGACACTTATCTCCAATAAACCACCAGAAAACTGAAAGTAGCACTGTGACTCAAGTGGTAGAGCACTCACTTTGACCTGAAGAGGTGAGGGACAAGAACCAGGCCCAGAATTCAAGCCCCAAGACCAATAAAAAATTACAGTTTCCCTATTGCATGCAAACACATTTCTGCTGCTAGCAATAGAGACAAGATAAAAACTCTAAGGAGACAATAATCTGGCATGACAACAATAAGTCTAAGGAGGTGTCTGAAAAATTATATTATCACTTTTTGATAAAATTTTAGTACATATAAGGGTAACAATGAATTAAACAAATATTTTTACTGCATTTACATATACTGCTTCACCCTAAATCCTATTTTGACTTTCTATTAACAGGTACTCTCATAAGCAAGCAGAACACATTCAGGATATGACATGGAATACAGAACATAGAATATTACTAGACCTATGAGAAGCAGTGTCCACATGAATATTCAAAAATACTAAGTACTCCAGAAAGTAGCTAATGATTTATTTTGCCCATATATGATTTAATTGAGTTCACACATAAAAATACCTTAGGTTAACCATGTTTGGTTTAAATACTAAATATTGAAAAGTGGTCACAGATACCCTGATATTTCCATCCTATGTAAAAAGAACTGCTACCATGAAGTTTTGTAAACTTTGCCTACATACTACAATACAAAATATATGTGGAAGGGGAATAAAATATTCTTTACAATATTTTCATTTTAATAGACTTCATGGAAGGTGGAGGAAAATATATAGAAGCTCAAGGAATACTAAATATGACAAAAATGATGAATATGAACAAATGCTCCAATGTGTCACATATTTCTGAGTCATTTCTCCAGTAGATCCCTAAGGATATATTTCCACTTGTGTTAGTTAATCGCAAAATTTCTCAGAGATCCAAATCAATTCCTGAGAAATCATCCGTGAGATTTTGCAACAAGTGATATTTCTAATAAAGAACACCTTGTCACTGTATTTTTTTTTTATCAAAACCAGTTCCTATCATATACTGGCAGTGAATTAAAATATTCAAAAGTAGTGGGAAGGAAAGACAAAACAAATACCACATCAAATGAAGTTAGACTAAAGATAACCGAATCAGGAGAAAACTGATTTTCTTGTAGTTTATAAGTTGGGCGAAGGAAATACTTTTCTGTGGGGAACTCTGAAGTTGAGCTGAAGGGGGAAAAGGTTTGAGAGGTTGGAATTCCAGCCTGACCGCAATGAGAACACTGAGAGCTGGCCACAGAAGGGTTAAAAGAGAATTCTGGAGAGGGTTCAGAGACTGGAGGGCAGGCCTTTTCCTTACTGTTGGAAAGATAGAAAGATAGCATCTGAAACTGAGCTGCTGTTCACCTTCAAGGCTAGCTAAGGTGAACTTCATGTAGGCATTTTATCTGGAAGCCAGTCTTCTGTCTCAGGACATTAGGAAACATGTTTTCCTCACAACCTGTTGTGGCTCTGATTGTACTACTAATATAGATACTTCATTTTTGCATGTTATCAATGGTAATCTTCCCTGTGTGCACTCAAGGAACTATGCTTGCTTGCTGGCACCAAGGGACCAAGTGCCAGAGAGCCTTCTGAACCCCGGTTTTTCCCTAAGTCTATCTGTTTATGTTTTTGTGATTTTCTAATTTTGTTTCTGGAATCCTGTAGAACTCTCTAGGGAACAGTTTTCCTATACAATGGGTAAGAAAAATGTCAAACCTAAGAGCCATGTCAGCAAAGTAAAACTGATCACTAAGAAAAAATAGTTCCCAGATAGATCATTTGATGAAAAGAAACAACTGAGACACATATGGAGGAAAGAGGGAATGAGAAAAGTAAGAAAAAATTGATAGAAAGATAGATACAAAGAGAGAGAAAGAGAAAAATAACCAACACTAGTGAGTAGAAAATCAAAAATAGAGAGAGAAAATAGAGGAAAGAAATTTTGTGAGGATACTTTAGAAAATAAACAGGAATTTGTAGAAAGACCATAAAGTTTAGCAACAAATATATCCTAAGTTTCAAGTAAGACGAAGACCATGAAGTCGACCAAGTACTATATATGGAGAGTAATTTAAGTACATATAGGCTAATCACTCCATAACAACACATGAATGTGTGTCTGTCCATAACACTATTTCAGCAATTCCAAGAAAATTTCATTGAAATAGTTTAACGTTGCTCATGAGGATGTGATCTGTTTGCAAGCTATCCTTCACCTTCCATGAGAAGAAACCTGCTCAGTGTCATTACATCAAATAACAGATTTGATTACATTTTATGAGAAGATGAAACCTAGACATTCTGAAGCCAATCTGCATTCAACTTAGAAAGAATATAACCATTTAATCTGCTAAACCTACAAGCAATCTTAATC